CATGCTGCTCCACATGCCTCACTGACTAAATCTTTGGGAAGCACAGCAAAAGAACAGAGGAAGAGCAGAATTGCCAGAGGGCTCCAGGGATCAGATATGGGACTTGACAGTGATGCTATCCCCACTGTTCCCCCCCACTTTTTTAAACTGTAGGCAATCTGGAGAACCCACTGAAAATGTGGCCTTGAAAGTTCTCTCAAAATAGAATTCAGACCCAGGACTGAAAGAGCTTCTGTATCTCTCTTACAGAAGAGGTGTTGAGGAATTCAGACCTCAAGCCTTTGGGCCAAGTCCACCCTACCCTCCAATCTGGTACTCCGAGGTTCTCTAGATGGCTATGCCCCTTTCCACTGGCCCCATCATCTCTCCCCTAACCATCACCTGTTCGGTGGCTTCCCAGGTTTTGTACAATGTCTTCATCATAGAAAGGGAGAAATGTATTTCCTAAGGTTTATTTACTGGAAGTGGGAACATCATTAGCATAACATGCTGGTATCTGGTCCATTTCCTTTTACTGCCAGCCTTGTCCATCACTGAACTTAGCCCCCCAGAAATTTTTCCAAATTTGAATTCATTGCTCAAGCTGAAAAAAGTTCAACACTCCATTTTAGAAAGATTGTTGCCAGTCCACAGCCAATGCAAAACATAGCAGAATAAGGTTCCATGATCTGACACTACAATCTGACACAGAGACTTAACATCTAATATCTGCAAGTTCCAGCAGGTATTAAGTGCCTGAATTTGACTCTTCTATGGTTGTGTGAAGGAGATCAGGCAGTACAACTGAACTAGATGTCACCTAATATTTCTTTGGGATCAATCAGCCTTGAAACATGGTGCTGAAGGAAAGCTTTGTGAATACCCGGGACCAACAGAAAGACAAACAAGTAGGTCCTAGATCAAATCAAGCTTGAGTGTTCCCTAGAAGAAAAAATGACAAAGCTGTCATACTTTGAGCACATCATGAGAAGGTAAAACTCCCAGGAGAAAACAATCACGCCAGGGAAAATTGAAGGTGAAAAAAGAAAAGGAAGACCAAATATGAGCTGGATTAACTCCATAAAAGAAGATACAGTCTTGAATTTACAAGAGCTGAGCAGGTTTGCCATGGAAAGGACAGTTTGGAGTGCTTTCATTCAAAGAATTGCCATAAAGCAGAGATGACTTGATCACACACAACAGCAACAAGAACCTCCATCTGACTCTTCTCAGTGCAGTAGGATTGAAACATAGACACATAGCAAGTCAGAAGGGGCCTCCCATGCTCTCTAGTCCAAGCCCCAGCCCCAGCCAGCTCCATTCTTTTAATACTCAACATGTGGTTGGCCAATCTTTCCTTGAACACCCTCACTGATGGGGACTCCACTACCTCCTATGGAAGCTCATTCCATATCCTATGGGTCCTCATTGTTAGGAAGTACTTCCTAACATTCAACCTGAAACTTGCTTCCTTGAGCTTTGTCACATCCTTTCCTCCACTGTAGGGGAAAACAGGTTGCAACCCTCTACCATGTGACACCCCTTCACATATCTATTTGTTGTTATAAGATTCCCTCTTAGTCTCCTCTTCTCCAGGCTGAAAAGATCCTGCTCCCCCAATCTCATTGTATATGTCTTCCCACCCAATCTGGCTACTATCCTTGTGACCCAGTGATGAACTGATTCTAACCTAGCTATGTCTCTATTATAATGCAAAGTCTAGAATTGAACACATTATTCCAGTTGTAGGTGCACCAGAGTCTTATAGAGCAGTACTAACACCTCTCTTGATCTGGAGGCCACACTAATGGCTATACAACCAAGGGTGACATTCACCTTCTTAACCACCACATCACACTGCTGGCTTATGTTTAACCTGCTATTGACAAGTACCCCAAGATCCCTTTCACAAATGCTGTTCTCCAGCCACTTGTCCTCCATCCTGTACCTATGGCACCTATTTCTGAGCCCCAAGTGCAAGACCTTGCACTTATCCACATTGAATGCCCTCCTGTTGTCCCCCACCTACTACCACAGTCTGTCCAGATCCTTTTGGATCTGGAGAACCTGCTACCCAGGTGTGGCCACCACCCCCTCTTTGGTATCATCTGTGAATTTGGTCAGCAGACTGGTTACCCCCTCCTCTAGGTCATGGATAAAGAGGTTCGCAACATTCAAACCTGAGGAAATAATCTTTGGTCTCCTCCCATTTTTCAGTTGTTATGAAGTGAATCAATAAAAGATCTGGGGTACCTTGAACAAACAGTCTAAATGCTTATCGCTTAATATTCCATAGATGATTAGTACTCTCATAAGTCATTTCTTCTGGTTAAAATGAAATCAGAAATAAACCAATCAATAATATTTATTAAGAAGAGACAGAATCTCCAGCAATTAGCCTTCAAATAATAGAAGAAGTGGCTGTTTGGAGAAATACCTATCTGATTAATTTGCTATTGCATATTTCTTTTCATATGTTCATATGGGATGTTGATAGCACCACCCATATTAATAGCCCTATACATGTTTTGAATGCTTACGCAAGAGAAAGCTACAGAAATTAGAGCAACGATCCATTTCAGGCAGGCACCTATGCTGCCTGGCAGCTGAATTATACGGATTCTTGAAAGGCAGGGAAAAGTACCTGGTTCCACTTTGGATATATTTCAGAGTAATTAGCATTAATAGATTTCCAGCCTTTGAAATGAAACTGAAACCATGACTAGGTCTCGCTGTATTTTATACTGCAGAGTCGTGCAATAGCAACATCAGGGAATTGCTGAAATATCATCATTTGTGCCATAACTGAGACTTTTGGCATCAGCACCATTGGGATGCAACTTCAGCACAGCAGTGATGTGAAGACTTTCCTACCCTAGTGCATCTTGAAAGGGACCATGCAAAATGAACTGGCTGCTAAAGATAGGTAGGAAGATAGGTTAGGAAAATAAGAAGACAAGATATGGAAAGCATTTCTAGAACAGTTTCAGATTTATATATATATAGTTATATCTATTGCAGAAGTACCAGAACTATGATCTGTGTTTTATTTGTTCTGATTTGCAGCTCAAATAATGCAGGTGTGAGATCAATTGTTAGTTTCTATGAACAAGGTGAAGCATCTTCTAGGTGCATTAGATATCAGAACAGCAGGTGGAGGGGCAATTTATAGGTATGTCAAATAAATAAGCAACGAAGAGAAAAGGGGCACAGAAAGGAGTATCTCTGAGTCTCAAAACATCTTGTTTGGCCCTCCATGAAATTTTACAACAGAGAAACAGATTGTTTCTGCTTTTCTGTTCCAAACCAGTTGACTAAACAAATTTTAGCTTACGGCATTTAGCACTACTCTTGCCCAGGGCATGTTATAACCTGTCACCATACAAAAATTTCAAAGATTTAGGGAAACAAAGAATACATTGTTCAGAATGTTAATTGTGGTCCATGTTAGCCAAACACCAATCAAAGCTTCCTTTGTCTGGTAAGTCATACCTCTTCATCTACAGCTCAAGCCAACAATGCCATAGAAACAGAAAACTGAAATCCAAAAACAATTTGCTGTGTGTCAAATGGTCCCTGTACAAATGCAGTAAATAATAGGGCAGATTTTCTTCTTGTTCAGCTACCAGTTGGAAAGTACTACACTGATCTGCACTTACTGAAGAGGTGCTGCGCCTGCACTTCTAGGCTCAAGACTCCTGTGTCTGGCACCCACAGACAAGTTCCATCAAGGGGCTGAGATACTTAGTTCAATGGGGTCTCACACTCTGCCATAGTTGAGCACATGAAGGGATCAGAATGCCAAGCTCTAGGCCTGAAGGCTGCCCCTTTAACTTGCTGTCATAGTTAATTTTATGTGTTAGGTTTCTTAGATGCCTTTTTCAAACATACCAGATTTAAAACAGATAAAAAGAAGTATTCACTAAAATGCTATCACCCCATAAAACATCTAAAATATTAGGGACAAGAATTCAACTGGTACATTAAAGAGCTCGCCATATACAGTCAAATGTCTGTGTGTTGAGGAGCATGTTAAGCAGGCACTAAAAAGATGATAATGTTGGCACCAGGTGGGCCTTACCGAGGGAGCGCAGTCTACAGTCAGTCAACCACTGAGAAGGCTGTCTCCATTTATACCATCCTCTGAGCCTCACTAATTGGACTGTACAGGTAGGTTCAGACTAGGAGAGGCTTTCTCTCAGATGTTGTGGTTCCAAACTCTACTTACCAACAGGGCGTGTAGCCTGAGAGCTGCAGGCAAGATCAGGAAGCACAAAAGGGCTCCACTGAGATTGTCCCCATGTGGCAAAGTGTCATTTGCTCCCTGGGCTCCCAAAGATCGACTGCCCTTGTCTGCAGAAGCTCCAGCTTCAGTGAATTATGCCTGCCTTCCCTTTCTGTTTCAGAAAACTTGCTGGATCCGTATCCCTGTGAGCCACTTGTAGGCTCTGATTTACTAGGACAGGACAATGGCAAGGTATGATTTCTCCTGTCTCCACCATCTCATAGTCATGCAGCTAAAAAAAGACACAGGGCCATCACTGATGTCTGGTCCTTTGGACAGGCAAACATCAGCACAAGTAGCACAACTGAATAATGGAAAACGGTGTTTCCTGAATGCCAAAATATTCACCAGCTTCTCCCTCACCTCACTTGTGGCTGTGCAAGTGCTATTCCATGGTCCCAGCGTTTTCAAAGCAGGTCTTCTTTCCTCTTGATAACACCATATAGGCAAGCAGATTTGGAAGAAATGGCACATCAATTCAGCATGAGAACAATGGTATCAGAACTATCGGATCCTGTCATGCTGTATGGTGACAATCACAAATCTAATTCAGGTTATTTGATGCAGTAAGAGGTTTTGGGATAAGCTCGAGTTTTTCACTGAACTGCCATGATCTGAAATGTTCTACAAAAACACCTCCTGCTGAAGCAATTAACTAACACAGGAGTCTTCATCATCCCATTCTAGAGACCTGCTTGACCATCTTTACAGCGTTCAAAGAGGATGTGCTTAGAAAGCTGAATAACAGTTTGTTTATTTGTTCATTCATTCATTCAGATTTCTGCTCAATTCATCAGCATGTGAAAACCCACAATAAGAATATCTAAATAAACCTTGAAAACATATATTTTTGAAAACATACATATATGTATGTATGTATATGTTGAAATATGTTGAACACACACACACACACACACACACACACGTATGGAATAGAAAAGATTGCCCTTTCAGAATGTCAACCACTTGTCTTAATGCAACTATTCATGAGTTTAACAGTGAACTCATGAATAATTACATTAAAACAAGTGTTGTGATTAATTTATTCTATGAGCTGCTGGACTAGAGATTTTACAAGAAGCCACACTGAAAACACACACACACAATTTGCTTAAACGAGCTTCTCAGTGCTCTGCTTTTGTTTACTCCAGGCTTTTGCCAAAATGTTTCCGGTTTTATGTTTGGATCTCAAGGCAGTCCAGCCATTTTCAGGAGAATAGATGCCGGTGCTGCGTGCTAATTAGGAGACTAACGAATGCAGGTCACCAAAACAAAGGCAAAGCTTTTCCGGAAGGAGACAAACTTGTGATTTGTGAAAGAAAAGCCAGGAAGTTTTAAAAGTGAAACAGAGGAGAATGAAACCCATCTAGCCTCTGAAAGCCCATGAAACAAAGTACTTTTCAGTATGCTCATCAGAAGGAACATTTCGTTAACTCTTTCTTCATTACTTGGTGGCCTTGATAATGAGCTATTAGAGGCAATAATCAGGAAAACCCAGTCATGCTCTAGGGCAAGTGATGCTAAATAGGATTTGCTCCATGTGCATGCACCTACATGCACATGGCAGATGATCTGAAAGCTTCCCAGAGCAAAGAATGCACTCAAAGCTCCTTGAAGATCAGAACATGGTGGTTGCTTCCACAGAACCTGGGAGAAGAGCCATGAAAAAGTCCTCAGACCAGAGAAAATTTCAACTGCGAGTAGCTTTTCCAGCTTGAGCAGCAAGTTAGCCACACTCTTTTGAGTCGGAGAACACAAGGGAAGTCCCCCGTCACCAGAGTTTTTATTAAGGATGGTACCTTTTCCCCATGTTGCATTACTATTTAGGCACCAAAGTATAAAATCAAAAGTGGTGGGGAGAAGGATGCATTGCTGCACTTGGGAACTTAGAGCAGTTGTATTTTTAAGCCTACCTGCACAGAGACAGCCTGGCTATACTTGTCCATACCCAGGTAACTGTACATCTCCCACCTGGATTATTGCAATGCTTCAGATGTGGGACTACCTTTGAGGATGGCCTGGCAACTTTAGTTAGTACAGAATTCAGTAGTGTTTACCAGGGTTGGCCATTTTGAACATATTACTCCAGTGCCATGTAAATGGCATTGGTTGCCAGTTTCTGGGCCCAATTCATGTCTAAAGCCCTAACTGGCTTCGAACCACTCATCTTGAAAGGATACCTTTCCCCATATGTTCCTGCCCAATCGGTAAGATCACCTTTATCCATTTATTTATTTTTACTTTTATAAGCCACCCCCTGCTCCTAATGGAGTCTCTGGGTGGCTTACAATATTTAAAAATAACATACTCATTACAACAATAGAAATGATTCAATACAATAAAAACATTAAATAGTTACTCATAGTATCTCAACAACAATAAATAGGTCATTATGATAAAGTACTAAGACCATGGGGGAGAACCTAAATGGACAATTAATATAAACATTAAACTAGTTGTTAAATTTTTAATGATTAAAATACCTAGAAAAGAGAAACGTTTTTGCCTGGTGCCAGAAAGAGAGTAATGTTGGCACCAGGCAAATTTCTCTACAGATCTCATTCCGTAAGTGGGGTGCAGCCACCTAGAAGCTCTTCTTTTTGCCAGTCCTATAACCATTTTGAGGGATGCCTCCTCTAGAAGGACCTCCTGCGCAGATCTTAGTGGTCAGGCAGGTCTATGCAGGAGAAGGCAGTCCTTTAAGTAGCCAGGTCCTAAGCCGTTTAGAGCCTTTAGGGGCTGTTCCCTGAGCGTTGCTGTCAACAATGGTGTGACGGGCAGCTACCAGAGAAGACTTCCCTGGTGTGGCTTCCAGACTGCAGAATGTCCTTCCCAGGTAGATCTGCCTGGTATCTTCCCTGTATACATTAGACTCCAGGTTCAGGCCTTTTTCTTTTAGCAGGCATGTAATAATTTATCTATTGCTTTGATTGTTAACTATACCACGGTCTCTCTAATATTTTAAAGGTTTGATATTGTAATGTTTTGGCATTTTATTGTTGTGTTCCTTCTTTTTGTTATTATTGCACTTAACAAATTTTCTTGTTATTATGGTAAACTACCCCAAGGGTATCTGCCAGTTGGGTGGTATATATATTCAATAGATTGATCAATCACATTTTCAAATGAATGACTGGTGGTATTCAAGTAGGGTCTCCAGCCAGAAATCTGTTTCAGCCCTGATTATTTAACTGGAAACAGGCGATCTGGACTCTTTCAATGGTCTTCCTCTGGACTTCTTGCTATAAGGCATGGGATTGCCGTATGTTATCATTAATGTATACTGCAGCACTGTAACTGTCAGTGACTCAATAAGGGCAGTAGTCCAGACAGGACTCTGCCATAGATGTCCAGGGCCCCAGTAAAGAGAATAAGCAGGAGGGCTTGCAAATGCAGCAGGGCTAGCTTCCCATCTTCTGAGGTAAGCACATGACAATCTAAAGCAGAAGTGCTGAATCGCCAGCCCATGGGTCAAGTCAGGCCTGCCTGGCATGCCAACCTGTTCCTGCTCCTCCAGGTTCCTCAGATGGTGACACCCCCTTTGTTTTGACTCTACCCACCCTTAGAATGTGGGCCCCATGAACTTCTCTGCAATTGAATTTGGGCCCTAGGCTTACTGAGGGACAGCACCCCTTATCTAGAGACCCTTCATTGAAATATTAAGTCTGGAGTATATAATTTCTTGAATGCACAAGGCAAGTCTGTCATCAGTGTTTCATAAGATTTTGTTTTGCTTTTGATTCTAACTGGAGGCACTGGGACTAAACCTGTAATCTCATTTTTGCAAAGCATGTGGTCTTCCACTGAATCATGGACATTTTATAAGCTTGTGTGTTGGAAGCTGGAGTTTTGAAAGTTGGAGGTGGTATGAAGAAACGCCCCTTATCCCAACACACAATAATAACATGCAACAGAAGACAGCTGACACAGAAGGGTAGAAAAATAGCCTTGTTATGGTGGTACCAGAGGGATGGAATTAAAATATCTCTGATGTAATGGTCACTCTGTGTGCACCATCCCAAAGTTTCAGAACCTCATCGCTGTGATGCAGGGCCATTGTATTTGACTTTCAGGAAAGCTGTAGCCAGACATATTATTGAGGAAGTGGAAGTTGTGGTGTTGTATCTTGGCTATATATTTCTAACTATATTCCCTGTGCTAAAAGATGTTATTATGCCTTAAAAGGAAGCCTGAAACAAGCTGGAACACTCCTGATGTTTAGGACTTCAATTCCAACCATAGCCAGCAAAGTTAATGGTAAAGAATGCTGGGATTTGTAGTCTAAAACAACTGGAAGGCATTAGGTGATGAATCCTGCTGAAGGCATCAGAGCAGTCTAAAAATCTAAAGAAATAGCTAATGCCTTCAACAAGATTCATAAAACTGTCAAAGGATTTCCACCTAACTAGTTTGAATTAGAAAATCTTTCAGTAGCTGGCCATGTACCAGAAGAACTTCAAAGCTGGTGGCAGGTTTCAACATGCCAAGTGTTTTTAATGATACCTAAAACATCAATGGTCAAGTTGCATCAAACAAGTTGGACAGCATGAGGTTCAATGGCATTTGTGGTTTTGTGAATGAACCACAGAAATATATGTTGTAAAATGAAGCATGAGATAAAGTAGAAATGCTTTCAGTCATCAAAAGTTTCCTAATATGTGTGCCTTTGCTTTAAACAAAGTTGTTAGCTAAACAAGCCGGAATGCAAAATCAGAAGGGTTTTTGAAGGATCATACAGCAAAATCCACTTGAAATTCAATTGTCTGATGGTGTATGATGCATCAGATATTCTTACCTTTCTACGATTTCTGAAAGATTTGGGCAATTTGTAAAATGTGAACTTTACATCATATGTGAAGTGCTCTTTAGGATATAACTGCATAGTGGTTTTATATACAGGAAGGTTCACATCTGTAGAATACTCAACAGTAGAAAAGACCCATTGAGGAGTTCAGTCAGTAGATACACATGGAATGCCATTGCAATTTTAAGTTTCATCCATCACCCTACAAAACAGGAGTTAAGTGAATATTTGTGTTCAATCCCTCTTGGTTAGAGTTGCAGTTCCTTGAAAGGTGAGGTACTCCATTTGGGGGATCTTCCTACACCATCTCAGTGGAGATACAAGTGGCATCAAACAGCACACCAGGGCACCTCAGCAGAACACATCCAGAGAGAGATGGATTTCTCAGCTTCCTTTTTCCCGTTCTTCTTTTTAAATCTCAAGTTCCATGTCTTCCAAACAGGAAGAACTTTACAAATTTTGCTAAAACCTTACCTTAAAAAATGAACTGAAACACAATTCTCACCCATCTGCACCAGCTAAATTCCAAAGGTACAGCTGTTCTCAGCAAGAAGAGGATGATGTTGTACTTGTCTACCTTGTAGGCAAGAAAGAAGAAAAGGAAGTGGCAACACTGATTCAGTATCTCAGTATTTGTTGAATACACAGAATGCAAAGCACTTCATGCCTTTGGCCTGAATGGAAAATCTGTCAGATTTCTCTAACATCCGAAAGCCTTAAATCTTAACTGTTTTTTGTCTTGGGTATGGAGAACTTTATAAATGTCTTATCAAACCCAGAATGACCTGAAATTCTCACTCATGCCTAAGGTCACCATGAAAATTCTCACCATCTCTAAGGCCACCATTTCTAAGCAATCAAGCCCACCCTGCTTTTAAAAGTGAATGCCGGGCAGACTCTGGACTTGGGTGTTGCTTTTAATTAACTCCCACTGCCTGGAATTGACATACATCGGTCATCATGGGAAATTATATGGTGATTTCCAGCTATCTGGTCAATGGCCCACTGCTCCTTGCATTGCCGGAAAAACCCCTGCATGATCTGCTTGCTTGCTTCTTGCTTAATGTTCATCTTTATGTCATTTCTCTAACTGCTATGTGTTAGCAGAAGTGCTTTGCACAATTTACAAAACAAAAAAACATAAAATATGGAAGCACAAGAAATTTTAATAATATAATAAAGCCAGTAAAAACCCAGCATCAGGGCAAAGACTGAAAAACACACTTATACCATTTTTAAAACTGAAGGGTTTTGTGCCTTATCCACATAGGAAAGTACAGTGTGCTGAAGTTGGCTCAAACCTAGAGCCAACTTTCTTGCCGCATAAAGTGACTTCTTTATAAGGACAACTCACTCACTGGGAACAAGTTAACTGGACAGTTTCCAGAAATAAACCCAAGTTAAGCAAACCTGGGTTAATGCAAGCCACTGAAAAACTGAACCACTAGGACTGAAAGTAGAAAGCATCCTACACTAGCCTCTTTTGATTTATCATTTTCCAATTGGAGCAGAAAGAGACTGATGCCACTCACTGTACCTTCCAAAGTTCTCTGCAGGAATACCTCTCTTTCAAAAATATTTTGTCCTCAACATGACTTATCATTATAAGCCTTCTGTTCATTTGTTTATTAAAGTTGATCCAGAATGCTTTATCAAAGAAGCATCCATTTTTTTAACCTTGCAACTGTGCAGAATATTGAACTTTGGAAGGTTTCCAGCCTCTTCCAAATTATGTTTTCAGTGGTAATGCATCCATTGAGAGCTTCTTGAAAAGCTAGGATTAGGAAGTTTTAAAGGATCATTTCTTGATAGCCTACCATTGACCTGACCTTGTGCAGAGCATTGATTAGGACTTCTTCACTTAAAAGGGGGGCATCTAATTAGTTACAAATAGTTCATTAAGTCTTGCACTTCAATACCAAAATTTCTCATAAGGCACCTTCCCCCATCAAAAAGAAAAATAAAGCACCTCTTCTATGTCAAAAATTATTCTTCTGAACTTTACAGGAGATCTACAGAAATAAGCCTTTAGAAAGTAACATTATATTGATCCTATTGCAACTTAATTCCACCCCCTGAGGATGACTCTTATGGAGGAGGGTGGGGGGGGAAGTGAATATAAATTGCATTTAGCATTCATGATATCAGAATTTGACTATGCCCCAGAGAAAGAATGTCAATAACCTTAGGGTAGGGATCAGGATCTGGAGATCTCTTTAGCCAAGTTTGATCTCCCCACTCATTCCTCGTCCCAGGTAGCAACAAGAGTTAAAGCATGGTCTGGAGGCAATCTATCCATAGCTGGTATGCAAATCTGCATTCCAGGACCCACTTTTGATGCCCTGAACCTCCCCATGAGACACTTTTCCTATTGACATTGTGCCATTGAATTTGGTGATGGCACCAACAAAACATTGGCCTGTCTGCCTCCATCACTGAACAAAAAACTGCTCCAGAGAAGTTCAATGGCCCAGTTTGGTTTCTTTTCAAAAACAAACCAGTGATAAAGATGATGATGATGATGCCACACATTTAAGTTGTGTGATGATGTGTGTAGGGGCACTGAGGGCCACATGCAGTCCATGGGCCATGTGTTACTCACCTGTGAACTATAGCAAGAGAACTTACTGCTAGGCCAGTTCAGTAGGTGGATGTTGAGCTACACCATCACTTCTCACAATCTCACCCCCATAGCAAATTGTTCTCTCACCAGAAAATGAGCTGCTCCAGGTACTTCTGAGGAGCTTTATTTATGTACTACTTACACAGTCTTTCTAATGTGCGTATTATATTATTTTCCTCATTCTTTTTCACTAAGAGGATTAACTTCTTTGAAGTCATCTGAGGATGGCTAGAATTCTCCAATGGTGTATAGTCTACAGAGGAGGTATTCCTCTCAATGGTAAGGGAAGCCCTACTATGATAATGGACATGTGATCAACTGTTTGGGAGTAGTCCATACATCATCCTAGTTAGATTCAAGGTGGGAGTAAGGCCTTTGGGAAGTGGCCATGTTTAGGAACAGCTAATGGGACTCAAAGCTGCTCCCTCTGCACATCAATTGTATGTATGCAGAAAGTCCCAATTGGCCTTAAGTTATCCCAATTGGAAAAAAGGCATTGCAGTCATTTGGGGTCTCTATTGATCATGTCTAGTGGCAGATTTTATTTTCCTGGGCTCCAAGATCACCGCAGATGGGGACTGCAGCCAAGAAATTAAAAGACACTTGCTCCTAGGGAGGAAAGCTATGGCAACTCTAGACAGCATACTAAAAAGCAGAGACATCACCCTGCCAACAAAAGTGCGTATAGTTAAGGCTATGGTTTTCCCAATTGCAACGTATGGCTGTGAAAGCTGGACCATAAGGAAGGCTGAGCGCCAAAGGATTGAGGCCTTCAAATTGTGGTGCTGGAGGAGACTCCTGCGAGTCCCTTGGATCACAAGGTGATCAAACTGGTCAGTCCTAGAGGAGATCAACCCTGACTGTTCTTTAGAAGGCCAGATGCTGAAGATGAAACTCAAATACTTTGGCCACCTAATGAGAAGGAAGGACTCCCTGGAGAAGAGTCTAATGCTGGGAACAGTTGATGGCAAAAGAAGACGGGGTCGGCAGAGGATGAGGTGGCTAGATGGAGTCACTGAAGCAGTTGGTGTGAGCTTAAGTGGACTCCTGGGGGTGGTGGAGGACAGGAAGGCCTGGAGGAATGTTGTCCATGGGGTCGCGATGGGTCAGACACGACCTCACGACTAACAACAACAATTAATCATGTCTGTGACCATCCATAGCTAGAGTGCACTTTGGGCTGCCCAGATGGACACGCAACATGCTGTGTTCTACATTTTCTAAAGCTACTTTTCTATTAATAATTCCACAGAATTAGTCTCTGGAGTACACTGCTCGTATATTACGCCCAACATCCATGACTTCTTATTTTCTCACACAATCACCTGGAAGCATCACCATACCTAATGCCAATTCTGCAAAACTATAAGAGGAATAAAAACTACTAGTCTAATGAAGTGCTAAGGTTCCTTTCATGACCAATTATCTGGGGCAAAAGTGTGAAGGCCTGAAAGTTACCACTTTCATTTGTTCTGTTTTTAAAAACAAGTATTTATGCCACATGGTATGAAGATAGGTGTGAAACAAGTGTAGGTATCATTTCCAGATGTCTCTCCATGACCACAAGACATAGAAACTTTCTATTATGTACACAGAACCTCTTCATAGGAGGAGCATCTTAGGAGAAAATGAATGCCACACAGCTAGCAGAGTGCCAGAATTCATGATGTAATTGCAGCTATGTAGTAACTAGTGTCACTGCTAACAACATAAGTGGCTATAAAAATATCAGTTGCTAATAGGGCTATAGCTGACTCCATTTCATTAGCCTTTTTGAATTTCACGTAAGTGGCCTCTTGTTCATCTGGTTCATCTCATACATCTTAAAAAACCAGCTTGTTGTTATAAAAGTCCAGAATTTCCTATTGGGCACAAAGCAGCTCATAAGATGAAAACTGGCTCCATCCATCACACCTGTGTAGTGAAAACACTTAGATGGTGGAAAACGCAAAACACTAATTGAAAATGAGCACCTCAGTATGGAACATGGTTACTAGAGACAGTTGCTCAACAAATGCGCCAGAAAAACTATCTGGAAACATTTCCGCTTGTGTGTACACGACACACGAGCTAGTGTTTCTGGGTGTTTGTTTTGCCTTGCTAGAGTAGAAGAATGCCTAATGTGACAAGTTTGACGGGTGAGAAATAGGAACCCAAACACAATGCCAAAGTGCCTTCCAGAAGTGAATGCAATGATGTGACCAACATCTGTCACGTGTGGTTATTTCTGTCCCTGAGGGAGATGAGAGCACGAACACAGGGGTTGTTTAATATTAAGTTGCACTTGTCATGAACTCTTTCTTGCTCGTAACAAAGGCAATCTGCAAAGTGATGTCTTTGGGCTTCTATGCATGCAGCAGATGCCCATCTAGAAGCTGTTTTCAGCTCCTCCCTGTGGCAGCCACCTCTGAGAAGCAAGCTCAGGACCCCACCACCAGTCTGCCTAGCAGAGATAGAGGTTTCCAGTGACATGGGGGCAACCTGTCTTATGCACTGGGTGAGCTGATGAATGTGTCATATAGTACCTCAGAAAATAGTTTAGAATAGCCTCTGTTTGGCCTATGTTTTGTGCACCTTCAGAAAATGATGGGTTTTTGGATATTGGCTTGGATATTAGACAATTTGTGGAGTCAGCCTCAGGAGAACTCTGTGTTCCACCCATATGGATTACATGCTGAAGCAGAGTTATGTGCTTGCTGCATTCAGTGCCAAGTCCAGAAAGAGCACAGGAAAAGTAGTATTGTGCACAGGATAAAGATTTAGACATTTCTGGCCTTCATTCTTGCAAAGATTTCCCAGAAAGCATAAAAAGCAGGATTGCAAGCAAAATCCAGATGATCCTTTGCAGCATGGTATATTCCATGAGCATTTGATCCAATGTGCAATATAATAATTCAAAATGCCTTTAATAAGCATGCAATACAACTTAATAGGAGGCATGGGTCAGTACTTTC